ACTAAGGTCCTGGTAATGGTGCCTCATCAAAACAAAGATCAAGAAATGACCAAGCCCAAAGCAAACACCGATCCAATAAGGTGATCGTGTCATCCAGGAGTTATCCTGAGGTGTTTATTCATGTATCCACTCACTCATCCACTCATTCATTTACTAATTCATCGAACAAATATCTGCTGAATATACAGTGTCAAACACTGTGCTTAGGCACTTGGATCACGGATGAGAATAAATAAGATAGTCAATGTCTGCAGAGAAGCAAACAAATAGAGAGGCAATAGTAATATGCAAAATAGATGGTGTAACAGAGGTTTTATATGAAATGCTATCAGAACACCACAGAGGAAAGAAATCAGTTCCTTTAGCAAGGTTGGGAAGGGTGGGAGCAAGAAAACATGAGAAGGTGATGTCAGAGCTGGGATTTTCCCAGGCAGAGCAGAGCAAGCAAAGGGCACAGAGCTGGTGATAGGGCAGGTATGTGCAGGGATGTTTGGTGGTGCGTGGAGAGGGGCTGGGCCAGCCGGACTGGAAGCAGGGTCAATGACTTTCATTGTTTTTAAAAGCACTGAGAGGAGGTAGTTACAAGGATCTCTAGTCTCCACTGGACTCTAAATTATTTCTTTCTATGAACTGAATGGAATGGGTTCCTGACCTCAGTGTCATGTTCTTTCTCACTGTCATTTCAAAAACACAAGTGGAATCCTATGTCCTCTTGTTCTGGGGCACCATGTTGAATTTGCTGGGAGCCAGTGTCTTCTCTAATGTCATTCTTCTGCCAGCAGCCTTGTATGCACCCTAACGCCCATGGCTCTGCAGGCTGTTAGGCCTGTTTGCTATGTGACATGGTCTCCTATGATAAAGATATGTGTTGGCATCTGTCTAAATTCAACCATTCCCCAAGGATGAATCCCTCCTACTTCAGAGACCTTTTCTCCCCCACACACTGATCTTCCAACTCCCTCACCACCTATTGCCCACACTACCAATTTCATCAAGCACTGATTAAACAATGGTTTATATAGTTTTCTCCCTGTTTCATAAGCATAAGTGATTTCTGTATGTTCCTGGAGGCCGGGGCCATGTTTCACATGTCATTCTGCTCTTCACGGCACTGGGTACCTTATTGCACCCACAGAGTGTACCTGGCACCTGGTGCCTGTGGCAACACCGTTTGCTGTGGAGTCCACTGTCTCTCCTAGGCTAATGGCCCATGGCTGGAGACAGAGGTGTGCCTTCATATTTTTTTAAATTTTAGATAGAAATATATCCAATATAATGTAAGAAGAATTAGGACAGAAATATAATCTGTTAGATTGAGAAAATGAATTCATTTAATACACATTTTAGTTCTAATACTAAAATTTGGCCAACAAAAGCTAAAGCCAACATTCATGTGTGCTCATTCCTAGCACTCAAATTTTGCTCTCTGGTGCTATTCTCCATTATAAATAAAGCCAGAACTCCTTGGAGATAACTAATTTTGTATCTTAGGGGCAGAGAAGGGTCAGGATTAGCTTGGAATATATTATTGCCAGAGCAAGAATAATTTTAAGAATATCAGGGGTGATGCTAAAAGGACAAAGAAGCAAGATGAAGTAACTTATGAATTAATAATAATAAAAATACAGTGAATTGAAATAAATTGTGAAAGGCAATGAGTTCT